GTTACACGTTAATCGAGTTAAGGGAAGTTATGGTTTATAACAGTGGATGCAGATGCGTGCGGCCCCGAATTGGTTGCGCGCTCTCCCCCCTCTCCCACGCAAACTTGCGGACGAAAGACGCCGCTTCTAAGTTATCCGCTGTCTCGCGAGTACTCGCTTTATTGCTCCTCGAGGCAACAATTCCTTCCAGTTGCCGAGCGAGTACGAAGGTATGCTAGAAAACAATGCCCGAGAAACGAGAATTCGGCGTGGAAGAAGCTTTAGAAAATTTATCCTGTATTTTACCCGGTATTTCCATGTGTGTTACACAATGCTTCGGAATCAGACAAACACAAGTGACAACCGTCCATCGACAAATTGAGTAAAGTCACAAAAACCTTCGAAGCTGAAGCGACAGCGATACGGCGAAAATCTCGAGCGATAGTATGTCCGTGAAATTTTCTCCAATTAACGATAACGAGACAAATCGAAAGCACAACGACACGTTCGTCTCGTCCAACCGTGAAATACAGCGCGTCTGATTTAAAGAACGCTGACACGGAATTTACACGGGCATCTATACGGTAGACGTCGTGTTGCTTGTTATCAGTGACATCGTACCCTTTGACAGCTCTTGTACCTTTACATGACCGGGAAGTTAATTAAAAGAAAAGAGTTGGCTGACGTAATGCAGGAAATCCGCTTCGAGAAGTATTTATTGACTCGTACTAATTGCTCCTGTGAAATGCCCGTGCCTATAATAATGAACTATGGTAGCGTCGCTGAACGTTGCTCGCTTTATTGATCATTTTAATATTAGCACTTCAGTCGGTTGTAGTGAATTCATCCGTTTCAGGGGCAGTAACTTTTGAAAAGTGTCTGTGCTTTAAAAGGAGGACATTTCCGTTCATAACCAGTGGATGTCTGACCCTTGCAATATCCAAATCTGTCCCATCAGCCTTCTCTCGCGCCAATAGTGATCAAAGAAGAAACACACGGGAACTCGATTATCGGAAGGGATCGGAGGAATGTGCTAAGGCAACGGTGAAGCTCTGTACACGCTGGCCAGCTGCGTTAGCAATACCATCCTAAGCACTATCTCGGTATTCTCCTGTCGTCTGGACAGCATTGCCCCGAACAATTATTATTACTCCGTGAACTCAAACACACGGGGACCCTCGGGCACCAGTTGGCAGCTTCTCACAGCCGGTGCACGGTACACACGCAGCGATGCGCCGAGTCAGCACGTACACGCGTGTGACGGTTCGGTCGTTTGGTATACGAATGACTGGACCACGTACTCGAGCAGGGGATAATCAGTGTGTAATGGAGCGTGCCTCCGTTAATGACGTACTACCGGTCTGACTCTGATCCTACTCCAGAAACTTGCCACTTGCCTGCTCCGCCTTCTCCTGTATCTCCGGCTGAAACTAACTTGTCGTTACCTACGGAACTTCGTATGAAGAGGTAGGGGGAGGACGGTGTAAATGTATTCGCGACATTCGGTTTCGGTTCAAAGGGTGGAATTGGAATTACTCCGTCTGCTGTTCCTCTAATTTAATTTATGAATACGCAACTTCTACACATTGTGCAAACGGTAACGTCTCGCGTGTGCGGCGGCAACGGGAAGTAACTCGAAGTCGAAGCATTGACTCGTACTACTGCTTGCTCCTCGACTTTCACGAATGTTTAACTATTCAAGTTGCTCTCGACCGTGATTCTTTCTGTCTGTATCCACCGAGCAATTCGCAGAGTCACTGTGCAGTTGGTGGCTGTACGGCGCTCTGAGAAGCCTGCATTCATTTCAATGTCTCCTCTGCCATTGACTCGACTACTCGCCACCTTCAATCCCATCCAGCTACTCTTCCGAGCACAGCCTCCCGTCATTTGCCCTCGGCAGCTCGATAATATCCACGCCGTGGAGTCGCTTATTGGGTAGTTGTCTAATCGACTGTGCACCTCCGATATAGGTATATTAAGTGCGCCAGTAGCCGGAGCCGTACTGCTCGACTCCTTCGATTAGTCTATTTAACGGCGCTAATTGGACGCGAAACGGCGCGTTGTTAGCCGGGTTTCCTGCGTTTGCTCCCTTTCTTCGCGAACGAAGGGGGGACCAACAACACCGTGGGTGTGCTTCGACTTCTTAGATAGCGGGCCAATCGAGGAATGCGAATGGGCGTTGATTCGGGTTTTATTCGGGTTCGATGCAACGACAAGTACAGAGATAATTATATAGGATCCGGATCGAATGATTCGAACGCAAGAACAGAAATTTCTCGAGATGTTAACTTCAGGAAAATTAGAACAACCGATCGACCCAGTTTCGCGAAGTTACGATAAGAGATCCGTGACGCAGTCACGAGCAAAGAAGTCAAACTCTCCGATGCTTGCAGAAGACTCAACTTCGACGAAGAAAGGACGCGCTCTGTCCACTTCGTTAACCCGTTTTCCGTGCGAACGAAATTTGCTGCATCACTTCGTTAAACACGCCGCTAAGCTGATGCTTACGATGGAACAGCCTTCGGCTGGGAAGTGGCTTAACATTCTTACGGTTCTGTATAGGTAATGTTAAACGATTGTTGAACAGATTTCTCGTCGGTAAACAGATGATATAGAAAGAGTCTGCAGGGGAATAGTTTACGGACACAGGTACGTCGGACGTTCAGTGAAAAAAACTAACGTCGTTGTCCGACAAGACTCTCTCGATCTCTCTCGAGTTTCCTTTATTTTACTGACTATGCCCCCCATCTCGATAGACTTATCGAAAAGATACAGGCCATACCTTTTTACGTCCTCGACCGTTGACTCCGATCCCTCGGAACACATTGACCCGTCTCGTCGGTTCCGAACAGAGAGATCTTACGATCTCCAGACGGTGGACTAAAGAGATCGATCTCTTTGGAGCTCACCGAAGAATCGTTGCTCTTTTTTCCCTAGTGTCTCCTACCCACCGATATTGTTCACTTGTGCGATGTTTAAATCTTCCGAGGAGAAGTCACAAGTCAAAAACCGTCTAGAATTATATTTATCGTAATCTTAATTCAGAATTATAAATATTAATTGCTTTTTTTTCTGTTACAGGACCTGATGCCCGTTTAGTGGACAAACGAGCTTTCCTTGGGAACCCCCGAACACCTCCATGTGTCTTCTAGCCTTCGTAATCTCGATACAAATAGACCGAAATAAGGCGTGTTAGTTGTATATACAAAAAGGGGAAATTAACTGACCGTATAAACGAGATCGCGTAGCGCGTCGCATGGGTGTTCTCACGGGACAAAACCTCCGCCATCAAAGTTACACGCGTGGAAACGATAATGCGGTCGAAATCGCGAAATTAGGCGCGAACGATCCATCGAAAGACACGTCGGATTGCGTTCCGAAAGATGCGTCTGGATTCGTAGACGGGATCCATCGTCTGGCACTGGTTCCGATAAACCGGAACGGAGGGAAATTAATCAGACTCGATGACCGAACCTAATGGTAACTCGATTAAAAAATTCTAATTTCAATACAGCTTCTCATTTTCTCTTTAACAATAAGTTGAGAGTTATGATAGCCTCGAGCGTACTACTCCAACAACTTCCCAAGTTTCGCTTCTTCCTTCCTGGCACGACAGAGAAATCTTAACGGGGGCGTAGGGTTGTTTCAGTTGCTTTTATAATTTAGGCCGACTAGTTAATCAAAAGTAACGCCATAATAGTTCTCGAACAAAATCGAGCAACGGCGAAAGCAACTCGAAACCGGCGGTCTCTACGAAATTATTGACCCGTACTACTGGGGTCGCGCTCGGCTGTTCGGAAACAATGATCGAATTGACGTTACTTTAAGGCATCCGGCACGGATCAACGTACCCTTCGGCACAGATCGAAAATCTCGGGGACAGATTCGAAAGAAAGATTCCAAACGAGCGCCGATAAGCGAGTCTGGGATCGAGAGGAAAGCCGGTACGCGCCGCCCGAAATATCTTATCTTCTTTTTCCGGGTGTTCCGCGCGCAGATGACGAAGAGTACGTGAGCCAGTTAGACGATAGCGAACTCCGGTTCTCCCTTCGAGCCCCGATAAGTGCTGATTTCCATAATGGTTCCGCGTACGAGTACGCTTCACTCGCTTCGGGATACTGTCTGACGTCTTATCAGTATCAAACCTTAAACGTTGATCGATATCAAATTGATACGTGATATTTTCGGGCGTTTCCTCGATGTACTTCGTGATCGAATGAAGTAACAATCTTTAAGCCACAAAGTGACGAATTGTCCCCCTCGTGAACATGTTGAATTTTAACGTTCTATGGTCGCTTATTGTTCAACTTCAAATAGTAAATTCCAACGTTTGTAACGGTTCGCAGAATCCCAGAAACATTATCGTCACATCACGATTCGCAATCTCCGTGGGTTTCAATTAAGTCCAGAAAATACTCGACATGCCGGGTCAGGTACGTACGATCATCAGGGCGGGGATGCACTTTCCCACCCTTATCGAACTTCTCGTCTTTTCCAAGTGGTGACCCCACTCTATCCTTCCCGTACGCACGTTTCGCCTAGAGTCGTTTCGCTTTATCTCGCATCGACGAGCCAGAGATGAAAATATCCGGCGCAAGATGAGAATATGAAACCAGAGGGGCCGAGATAGATCCAGACCACGCCCTGGTGCTACTTTCCTATTTACAGTATCAATCGATGATCTTTAACCCTCTCCCCCAGGAAGGACGAGGTCTGAAATATTGTAATAAATTTCTACACCTCCAACGAGAAACGAAGCACCGAAAATAAATGATGTTCCAATAGAAATTCACAAAGATACCCAGTGCCAGATCGAAGGGTGAACGATACCGTTTGCGATTGAAATTTCAGGGAAAACCGCAAGCTTGCGTCGGGGTGTCGCGCGTTTGGCGCTCGAGTAGGCCTAAATGAAGAGCGATCGCCGCGGAGACAGGTGATCGATACCGATTTCGTGAAGTAGTGCGCGCGTATACGGAACCCACGTGTGTGTGTGTGCGCGCGCGCGACGGGGCTAGGTCGCAGGATAATCGTGGCGGAAACGCGCGGGGGGTAGGGCCGGCCGAGCAAGATGGAACTCTTCCTGATTCTCGTCTGTCTGATTGCACCGCCCACCCTCTCGCTCTCGATCAAGAGCAAGCTGAATCCACGGATCGTCCAAACACGGTACGGCGAGGTGCAGGGGGTCGTACGGTCCTTCGAGGACGCGAAATTCCTCAAGCCAATCGACGTCTACCTCGGTATACCGTACGCCACACCGCCGGTGGTCGGTAACAGATTCTCGCCGACCAGAGCGCCCAGCCCGTGGGAAGGAGTCAGGTGAGCTCGAGATTTCCTTCCGACCCCGTTCCGTGTACAGCCCTTCCGAGCGTTGCGCGTAGGAGATCGTCGAACTCTTTGTTCGCTGAGAAAGGGTGAATACGGGGCCAAAAAATCGGTTTCTTGGGCTATCATATTTTTCTTGTGAATACATACATCCGATGGAGGCGATAGTTGTACGATTCGGAGGATGTCTGTAATTTAAACGAGTCCTCGTCACCTTTGATTAGTGACAAGCCAATGGACCATTAGCTAGTTGAATATAATATCCGAATATCCCGAATGGGGAACGAGCGGCGGGCGATCTTCTAACATTAAAAAGGGGGACGGAAATTTTACAAGAAGCTTGACTTTCATGGAATGTATATTCTGCTTGTCGGAATCCTCTTAATGCGCGGATTCGTAAACGTATTCCGCCGGCATATTTCCTGCAAAGTTATGTCAAGCTGTTCCTTTGAAACTCGTTCAAGTATTCAGCCTTGCACGCCCTTTCATACTCACCACCCTGTCATTCCGCGCCGCTCTCCGGAATAAAAATGCATTTGAATACATTCGACGAAACAGTCCCCCCTCCTCGGTGTCGTACTACGTCGACCTTGCTGTGTGCTCGGTATCGCTGTAGGACAACTGACCTGTTTATCATACCGGGTGGAACGGAACGGTGTTTAATCAGCGTACACCGAAGTGTGTCGGGACTCTTGTAGAAAATCGAAATCCTCGTTCCATCGAAATTGTAACGGGGATGGTCGTAAGCATGGAATTCCCAGTAATCGTTCCCTCGTTGCGGTTCCCCACCATTTCGTATCGCGAGGCCGCGGCGCCGTTCGATTTATCCGCGTCGTCACGCATGAGTGGACTCCAGCGAATCCCTCTTTACAGATTATCGGACTCGGTCGGTCCAGTTTGCCCCCAAAAGCTGCCCGACATCTCGAATGAGCAAGAAGCATTGGAGCGTATGCCGAAAGGTCGACTCGAGTACTTGAAGAGACTGCTGCCTCATCTACGGAATCAGAGCGAGGATTGCCTCTACTTGAACATATACGCGCCCGCCATGGGTGAGTAATTCATCGTTTATCCGCTTACCAGTCGGAACAGTCCTCCTCCCCTTGTTCTGCAGTATCGAGGACCGTGGGCTGAATACACGTTCCGAAAAGTTCGGCGCGCGTCGAACGAAAAGCTCTGCATAATAGAATACGATTAAGCCCCTCTAACCGACACTTGTCTGACATACATTGACTCGTGGTACTACGACTAAGGAGAACTTCGGAGTTTCTACTGTTCCCTTAAGACCTTACTTGGGATAGATGGAGTTTCCTGTAGAATTATCCTCGTCTGACGTATACTGACTCGTACTACTTGATTAAAAAGAATTTTACACTGTTGCGGAGAATGAGAGTATGTTCTCTTGTTTTACGTAGTATACAGTGTCCCTTTGATCACACGGATCAAGATATTATCGAATCATCGAAATACTCACGATTCATCGATGTCCACCATTAGGACCATCGAATGAAAAAAGAATGAGAACGTGAGAAACGCTTTGCTCGATTATCGGATGGGAATAGCTATTACCAATGTCCCTGGATGCTGCTGGAAATTAATGGCCAGTCCGCGTACCGAGCCATTTCGACATGTTATTAATTAGTGAGAACTTAACGAAGGTTATCCGGTCGCGTAACCTTCGTCTCTCCCACCTCCACGTAAATTATTCCCCGTGTCGCGAACTGTCGTGATGGAAAGACGAATCGACGTTATTAGAATCAGTTCTATGTCATTCTCGCGTCGTGGAAAATTTTTTTTTACGAGTTTACCCAGCCAGTTTCGAGTCGGGTAATGAATAGTCGTTGGAATTGATTTAACATTTCAGCTAGTAATATACGATTAGCAGAATACGATTATGTAGGCATTACCTTTTTTTTTTTTTTTAATTTTTATCTTATACAACAGTGCTCTCTAAAAAAATTGGCCGACAATGCTGTATTCTGTCTGCTTTATTTCTGCGGCTTGACATTAAATTCGTAATCCCTGACAATTAAAAACCGTAGCGAACACAACAGGGGATGTAACACGCGTGAAAATTATTCATGATCTGTATCCAGCCACCCCGAACTACACAATGTGGAGAGCTGTCCACAAAACGAACTGAAAAATCAGCAAAAGAATCTCGTTTTATTTTCCGATTTTCCATCGCAATTGTACCCCCTCCCGCCCTCTTCGTTATACGATGTACAATCGAAAAATTTGTTCCTTCGATGCACTCGTCGATATTTTACCTAGAACAATGTTTCGATATACTACAAGTACTCATGATCCTTGCGAAAAAGCTGCTGATTTTGATTCGTACGAGCCGCGTTTAACGGTGCTCAATTTTGTTCGATACGATCGGGTATGCAAAAAGGGAGCCCTTATCGAGAAAATAGAAAACTTTTGAATGTTTAAGTAGCATAGTATCGAGTAGAGAGAATTCGAAATCAAAGGGGGGACTGGCTTATCAATTTCGACACAAAGCTTCGCGATATACGACAGATAGTACTAACTATTGGGCTTTCATGGATGCCACATTGAATACTATACCAGTAATACGGATACATTCACCTTTTTCAGATTCACTTTGATTAATTGTCCGATACACGGATTCCGTAATGTACTAACATGAAAAGGCATGGAAATGTCCCTCTCCGGTTTTGATGAAACTTCGTATGTCTGTTTAGCAATCAAAATTAAGGGATACGTGTTTTTTTTATCGGTTGAGACGCGACTTTAAGGGGTGATATCTCGATGTAATATCAATTAAATTTCTTTCTCAATTACACACTTTCAAATTGTATCTCCGACCATTCGCGGAATGATTTTCATTAACGGTCACGATCGTCATAAGATTCTTAAAAATGCTCGTCGATTACACGAGTAAAAGTGAAGACGCGCTAGGGGAATGGTCTTCTGTCACGGCGAAAGCCACTTCGAGTCAACTTCTTTGTTTCCCCCGGTATCGAGTTCGACGTTTCAGCCTAATGGAAGAGGCCGGAGAGACTTCGGGATTCGCTTAACGCGCGAGATCTTCCGCGTCGAACTTTTCGTCCCACCGAGAACGGAACAAAGACAGAGAGACTCGCAATCACACGGCCGCCTGCGCTCGCAATTCCTTCGCGTCGAAGCTAGGACGCGCGAACGAACGGTGAGAGGTGCCTGCAAGTTTTGCCCCCCACGGAACGACGACCACGAACTAATAATCGAATCCGTAAGTTCCGGGAATTCGTTTCGAACTCTAAAATACTTGGCCGCGAACCGTGAACCCCGTCCGGCAGCCCGACGAATACGGAAGGACGCTCCCGTGAAATTATTTTCCTCGATCGGGACACTGAACGAAAGATTAAGTGGCTTCCCCTGTTCCGTGGTAGAGCGTTCCTTTGTATCGTTGATCCGCGTTAATGCTGGTCGATGATGAAGCACCATTTGTATCTCGCCGCGGGAACGCTTTCTTCGTCGAGCAGGATCGCGCGGTTTTTGCGTGACGGGGGATGAAAAACGGTTTTCGAACTCGTAAGGATTGCATATAGAACGGGAGCTTGTAAGCACGACGAATGATTCGGTGGCGTCTGAGTTATTGTTCTTGGTGAATACGCTTTTAGAGATACGCTAAATGTTTCGTCACTATTATCAGGTGTACAAATTAATTCCGTGTTAAACAATTAATTAGTGACTCAACACCGCCAGAATTCTTTTCGAGGGAGGATTCGCCAGCTGAGAAATGGCGTGAATATGTAGAAAGTGACGGGGAATATTTTCAAGACCATGAATTACCTTGTACACCTAATAATTAGCGGAAGGAATCACTTGGTACAAATAAATGATTACGGAACAACGCGGAAAGCAGAAGTATTGAAGCAAAAGGAGGAGAAATGGTAGTAGGAGAGCAAACATGTACTACAAAACGATACGAGTGTAATGGTTTCAGACTGTTGTCTGGAATGTCTGAATATATTAGCCTTTCCTCGAAAGTGAACGGCGCCAGTTCCCAGGGAAATGAGTTACAAAGTTGCTTCCAATCATTCCGGCGGCGCGGAAGACGAAGTGTGGGATGGGGCGTCAAAGAAACGACGTTTGCAAATTGTCGCAAGCTACGTGTCGTTGACGAAGCGCGCGCGAGTTTTCGCCAGGCAGCGTTATGAAGTTACTTGTTTAAGCGCGCAACAAGCACACCGCCGCCGCCGCGCCGTTGCGTCACAAAAGGGTAGAGACTGCGAAAGGAGCCACATCTAAGTGCCATCCCCCCGGAGCCGACGAGGACGTCGAGAGTCCTTCCGCCGTTGAGGTCCTCCTAAACATCCGTGAGCAGAAGTTCATACACACACAAGCCTATTATTAAATGCGGTTCCGCGTGCTCTACTCCTTTCGGCTCGTGGAGGCGCGTCGAGATCGATCGATCCGCGAGGGACGCCGCTTCGAGCCTGGAAAGTAACGTCGGCCATTGTTCCAGGGGGGCTTTCAAAGACAACGGCTCGAACTTGGTAATCGAGGCGCCCCGGGGAGAATTTCCAGGTCACTCGATCCATTTCGGTTAATCTTTGAATTTTTCATCCAGATTCCAAGTTTCACGTACACTACGGTGAATCCTCGATGAGTGTTCGAAGGCACTAAACATGAAATATTTCATAAACTAATGGCCATATGCAGATTAAACAACTACAATTGGCATCAGAATTCTGAGCTCTGTCGCTTTGCTGTACCTCATTAAAGTCTGCGTTACACCTGGCGATCTCTCCCTGTTATTAGCGAGGAACATTCGGGCACTCATCGAGGATTTATTGTACAATGAATTTTCGAACGCGTCACCTTGGATTTGAAGCGAGAAAGCTCCGTGGTTCCGCCCATGAAATCGAGCTCTGTAGACGCTGAGACTTGCATTCTCGCGTATCTTAACGATTACGAGCGTGCAGAGCCTCGGCTTCGGTGTCATTCGCGTCGTAAAATACCCTCGAAACCGCGTTAGTGCATCTTTGAATACGGGAACAACGCGTATCGACCTGGTCGGCGGGAAAAGAAAGAGAGAGGAGGTGGATGAAAAGAGAGGAATTGTAGAGATGAAATTCTGAAACACAAGAGAGAGAGTAGACAGTGGAGAGTGGAACCATCAAACGCTAGGAGAAACGGAGGAAATTCTCTGAATATTTCACGCGGCTCACCTTCTAGACGGGCTTTCGAAATTCGGTCTGGCTTGGTTCTTTCATTTTTCTTCGGGCTCTGACCTATATTCCAGGGTGCGGAAGATAAAGGAAGGGAGGTCCGGTGAAGAAAGGGGCTCGCGCTTTACAGACGTTCAAGTTGTCCGATTACAGCGGAAACGTAATCGTTCCCATTCTTTTCGCGGTCTATCTTGACCGCTGTTATTAACGATCCGCGGACTAGTCAGTTATCCTTCCCGAGATCCAGTTAATTCTCTTGAACGTTTCACGGATGCGAGGTGATCTCTATTTAGCTCCAGTTCATTTGCCGCGCAGAGTTTACACGTATATCGCAATGTTCCGTTCGATTACGCGATGTCCGACAATCCGAGGACGTTCTCGATCCTCCTAAGATCGACGAATAGTAAACACGAGTAGACCTATCGACACCTCGGTGAACACGTGTAACGCTTCGCGAGTACCGTCCCAAGTCCCGATAACAATCAATCCGCGACCAGCTAATCCAACGTGTCACCAGTGGCAACCCAATGCCCGTGTCCTTGGTTGCCAGGCAACGATTCAGCTCGGTGAAACACTGGGAACTACACGCAGCTTGAACCATGGAGCATAGAAATTTAGTGTTGTTTACCGGACGAAGTGGGGCCGTGACTATTTTTCGAAAATTGTCAGTGAGAGGGCACGCGTGGCCGCGAAAGGACGAACACATCCGTAGCAGTTTTGCATTTTGGACGGTTGCCGAGGCATCGGGGTCCCTGGTTTGCAGGTAGTCACGCTCGCGCGCAGACTTGCAGAATAGCGTGTTCTGGTTTCCTGTTCCGGCTTACATTCGCGTCTGGATGTTTCATTGTCGAAACGCGAACGTGCACGGCCGCGATACACG